AATTTAAAAAAACAAAAAACAAAGAGCGAGGCTCAGGGAAAACTTGGCAGTAAACTATTTTGACTTTTCAAGTGTTCAGGTTCAGCTCCACCTGGGTGCTGAGAGAACCTCCCTCTCTAGCCAAAACAAGGCCCCCACAAAAAACAAGACAAAAACAAACAAATACCCTACCTAGAGAAGATGACAAATCCCACATGTGCTAAGGAAGCATAAACGGATCACTTCAAACAAATCACCTTATCAGAGAGCGTGGGGGAGCAGAGGCCGCCAGCTGCCTCGCTGTGAGGTTGGAAGAGAAAGAGGATGAAAGCAGCCCACAAAGGAGCCCAAAACTGCAGCCCAGGGAGCTAGGACCGGCAGGGGTCACTCGGGGCCTCGTGCCAGGCCCAGCTACAGGCCCTGTCTCACCCTGGGAGCCTGCACTGGCAGAGCGACCTGGATCGCCATGGCAACAGCAAAGGAGCAGGTGAGCGGAAGCAGAAGCCCTAGAGGCGAGGCGCAGGGCAAACCTGGACTGAGCCACAGTTCCCGGATGTGTCCTCAGCCCTCAGCAGGGGGCTCAGAGAGGGTGGAACCGCAGCCAACAGAAAGGGTCAGCTCAGCCTGCCGTGCTTTCCCTGTTCTGCAGCTGTGGAGACTGGAGAACGGAGAAATTAATTCAGCGAAGTCATTTTGGACAATACAAACATAGGAGCTGCTGCCCACTGTAGCTGGATGTCCGTCATGCTCTCGGGCACAAAGCTATTCACAGCTTAGCTAAAGACTGTCCTATAATTACACTGGGGTCACAGGAAAGGTGCTTGTAAGGGGTGGGGAATGTTTCCCCGAAATTCCTATAACAGAATTCAATAGACATGTAGTACTGATCAATCAAGAAATACTACTCTGGCTACTTCAGTGGAAAAGAACTTGAAATCAAGGACAGCTATACTCTTTTAAAAGCCATGTGATATTATTAGACTTCATGCACACATGCACACATAGGGAGTGCTAAGCTACATCCCTGACTCTAATTTGTTTGGTTCTTTTGAGACAAGTTCTCCTAAACTGCCCAGGCTGTGCTCAAACTTGCAATACTACTGCCTCAGCCTCCTGAGTAACTAGGATTACTGGAGTGGTACCACCATGCCTAACACACTAGGTTTTTTTTTTTTTTTAAATGCACATATAGCCGGGCGTGGTGACACACACCTGTAATCCCAGCACACGGGAGGCTGAGGCAGGAGGATCCTGTGAGTTCGAGACCAGCCTGAGCTACATACTGAGTTCCAGATCAGTCTCAACTACATAGTGAGACCCTGTCTCAAAAAACCAAGATAAACAAAAAACAAAAAGCACATATATTTTTTGATGAAGAAAGGATTTTTTTTTTTTTTTTTAAATGCACATATAGCCGGGCGTGGTGACACACACCTGTAATCCCAGCACACGGGAGGCTGAGGCAGGAGGATCCTGTGAGTTCGAGACCAGCCTGAGCTACATACTGAGTTCCAGATCAGTCTCAACTACATAGTGAGACCCTGTCTCAAAAAACCAAGATAAACAAAAAACAAAAAGCACATATATTTTTTGATGAAGAAAGGAAGGAAGAAAGAGGAGGGAGGGAGGGAAGAAGAGAGGGAGAGAGGGAGGGAAAGGAAGGGGGAAGGAAGAAAATCAGAAATCTTCTAGGCCAAAATCTAACCTCATAGACCCTATTCTTTCACCACACAACCTCCACCAGTCCCTGGGGTTTTGCCTTATTGTCTCCCTCCTTCCCTGGGTAACCTCATGGGCCTCTCCGTAAAAGAACCTTGTCCTGGGGTGGGGGGTGTAGCTCAGCAGCACTGCACCTGCCTGGCAAGCGCAAGGTCCTGAGTTCAATCCCAGGTATAAAAAAAAGAAGAAGAAGAAGAAAGAAGGAGAAGAAGAAGAGGAGGAGGAGGAACCCTGCCCTCCTCCACCAAGGAGGGATGGGGAGGACAATGGCACCCTCTTCCTGGAATCCTGGGCAGAATGGCAAAAATGTCTGAAACAGCTCGAACCCAGAACTAGAAAGCCTCCATTCATTAGTCCCCTCCATGTACCCAGGCCCCAGGACTCCCTCAGTTTGAACTTCTGCTTAAGCTAGCTGGAGACACTTTCTGTTATTTACTATGATCAAAGGCAGTTAATGGAAATATCTAATAAAAATAAGTTTGAGGTTTATTTGTACTGTTATGTGCTAAGATAACTTACCAAAGTGGCTTGTTCACTTTTTGACCTAAGAAGCCTATGTTACATCACAGTCCATAAACAATGCACATATATATGTACATACGTATAAGTTTTGCCAAAAATTCTACCCTAGTGGGATGTCGTTCTCAACCTATAATCCTACCTTCTGAGGAGTCCAAGGCAGGAAGATGGAAACTTAGTCTGGGCAACTTAGTGGGACGCTGTCTCAAATAATCTCAAAATAAAAAATAAAAAGGGTTAGGGAGCCAGGTGTGTTGGTACACAGCGTTTGGGAAACTGAGGCAGGAGCATCCCAGTGAGTTTGAGGCCAGCCTGGGCTACAAAGTAAGTGCGGGGCCAGTCCATATACCCAGCAAGATCCTGTCCCCAAAAAAAGGCTAGAGTGAAGTGCTGGGGATTTAGCTCAGCAGTGCTTCCCAAACTCAAGGTCCTGAGTTCAATCCCTGGTACAAAAAAAAAAAAAAAAAAAAAAGGCTGGAGATACAGCTCAGTGATAGAGCACTTACCTAGTAAGCCCCGAATTCAATCCCCAGCACAGGAGTTGCGTTTTGTGTGTGTGTGTGTGTATGTGTGTGTGTGTGTGTGTGTGTGTGTGTGTATCTGTGTATCTACCCTTACTAACACTCTGAGACAGAGACTGTTCTATTTTTTTAGTGCTGGGACTGTCCCACTACATTGATTTCCGGTCCACTAGTGGTTATGATCCGCAGTTCTGAAAAACTTGCTCACTGTAGCACTGCATGTGTGCCCAACCATAAAAACAATCCAGTGGGTTACTGGCCCTATTTCCACGCCCATGTGCAGAGCACTAACACACACTGCCTGGCCGGTGGGAAAACACCAGAAGTCCCAGGGCCCCAGCCCCTCTGGAACAAACACACTCCAAACAACTGTCCACACTGGCAGCTCAAGAAAAACATCTCTTTCCTTATTGATTCACTCCCACTTGCACATGCACGGAGTGCTCACTCAGTGGTATGAACACATGACAGGCTTCCTGTGACGGTCCAGCCATAAATTCTATCTGCACGCTGGCTCAGAGGAGAGGAATCCAGGGCAATGCCTGTCTCCTGACTGACTGTTTACCATCTCCTCCCGGCTTCAGGAGCCCAGGAACATCTCCAGGGTGGGACCAGGGTCCTAGTCATTTCATTCTCAACTTTGGAGCAAAGTATGTCTCAGGTTCCGCCTGGGAAGGAGTCCTTCTTGCTCTACAGGTCTCTCTCTGGTTAGCTTCAAACTTAACTGTGCCTGGAGACTATGAATTTCTCGCTCACTATTTTCCTACTTATTCCTTTGCACCACCAAATAGCAAAAAGTACCAAACAAACAGAAACCTCAAGAGATATCAGAGGGTGGCAATTCACCCTCAATGCTGCCAGCTGCCAGTGTCATTTGTGGTCCTAGACTTCTGTATCTTTTGTATAGCAAGCAAAACAGAAGTCCAGACACCCCTCTCCCTTATTTATCTCACACCCTTTTCCTGTCTCAATCATCTCAAAACCGCAGGAAGGTGGGGCAGAGTTTGAGGCTCACACAACAGGGGGTGGACTGGAGGTTGGGGAGCCGGGTCTGGGCAGCAGTGAGACTTGCACTGTAACGTGGAAGAACCATTCCCAAGCCTAGGCAAAAATAACCAGGGGACTGAAAAGAAGTGATTGTCTGTGCTCTAAACTTCAAATGAGCACCTATTCTACAAATATTCTTTGAAGAAGACTATAATGCAGCCGCAGCTGGATTAGCTCTCCCTCAGGGACAGGCTGAGACAGGCAGCCAGCCAGCAGGGAATCGCCTGGCGGGGGGCAAACTCGCCATCACCTTGGATCTCATTTCAGGGCTATTCTGGGTTAGGTTCCCAGCAAGCCTAGAACAGCCACAAATTACTCCCTTTGTCTCTACAGAGGAGAAATCTGAGGGCCGCCTGGGGGACAGTGGGAGCCTGGGAGACAAGGACTAAGGCCCAGGGGACGAGGGAAGCAGGGCAGAGAGGCTTATGCTGGGTTATAACCCCCTTTCTCCAACTTCATCGGGTCTAGAAACCCTCAAATCCTCACGCGCGTCTCTTTCCTCCCCTTTTCAGCCCAGGTTTGGCATCCCCTTCATCCCCCGGTCCGGCTCGGCGGCTGAAGACGGAAGCAAAACCAACAAATCGTCCCAGCAGGCGCTCTGATGGCCGACAAGGGGAGGGCAGCAGGGGAACTGCAGGGGACTCGGAGGGTTGGCCCCCAGGTGGAAAGCTCTGTCCCTCTTAGCAAAAGGCGGGGTTTCCGACCGACGTCGCAGTGATTTGGGGTGCCCCCCACGCCTCCCATCAGCCCCCCCACCCTCCGCCCCAAGCCCTGGAATTTCACTCTCTACCCCTTTTTCTTGTCACTGACCCCACAAAGCACCACAAAATTCTTTGAAGGGCCTCTGAGGTCACCAGAACCCGCAGAAAGCTTCATCTGGTTCGGCGGGACACGAGGTCCAGCAGAGCGCAGGGACGCGACCCCGGTTCTCTGATGACCCAAGCTCGCCGCCCGGACGCCTAGGGACGCGCGGTCACACGCAGAAGCCGCAGGGCCCCCCATGGCGCCGGGACGCCCCGGCCCTCCGGCCCCCAGGTCTCCATCCCGACGTTCCCACTGCCCGCCGCAGGGCAGAGAAAAACACGAGAGCGAGAGAAGCGCCGAGAAGGGCCGGCCACACGAGTCCGGCACCGGGTGATGTCACGACCTCGGCGCAGGGCGGAACTGGAACCCCGAATACCAGGCAGGGAACGCAATGTGGGTGCTTCTTCTTACCGTGGCTTGACCCTCCGGGTGCACGTCCACCAGACTACACCAGTTCCGCGTCCCGTTCATCTTCCCGCCGGGAGCTTCCCCCGGGATCGCAGCGTGCAACACACAGCCCACCAGTCCGCCGGGCAGTCCGGCTCCTACTAAGCGGGTAACGTGGGGCCGCCCCTAGTAAGGCGCGTCGGGGGCAGGGCCGAAGACAGGCCACGCCCAAGGACACTGGCCGCCAATGGGCAAGCGGAGGCCAAAGTGGGTGGTGCCGAGTGACCTCAGGGCACGCCCCTATCTGAGCTAGTTTAGATTTACACGAAGGTGGGGCTCTGGAGGGACCCAGAACTGCTTGACAGTTTTGTCTGGGGTACGTGGTTGTAAGACATTGATTAATCTTGTCTCAACTCCAAGATGAGTTTCGGTCAGAAGTAATCATCTTGCCTACTCCTCTACTGAGAATGAAGAGTTGGAACCAATACATTCTCCTCTCCTTATGCATAGGCTGGCCTGTACACTTTGTGGAGCTGCGTAAGCCTCCTCCTCCATAGAAAGGCAGGCACCAAGGGCTGGCTCACTCAGACTAGCCTGAGCCAGTCTGGCAGGTGCCCTTCCCTGGCAAAATGCCCAGGCCACAGTCAACGCCAGCTAGGACCCGGGTGGGGCTTGTTTTGCACAGCTATTATACCAAAGCTACCCTTATAAGGCGGGGAGAGGCGGGACGACTGCCTTAAAAGGAATCCTAGAGAACTTCTCCATGGTACTTACTCCCCAGCACTAGGCTGGGATCTGGAGGGTTTAGGAGAGGGAGTTGGCTAAATAGGCCCAGGAGTTTCCTCCCAGCCCATGTGCTCTGGGCAGGTGGCTGTTCCACCGGTCTTGAGGTCTGAACCATTCCTCCGTGCACAGTATCCCTACATCTGGCAGTAGGCTCTCACGGAGGGCAAGCTGTCTCTTCAAACCAAAACTAGGGCAGAGGGGAGAAACTTGCCACCTCCCAGGTAGGGATAGGGTGGTGGTCTACTAGGAATGGATGTGGGTTTTGGGGGACATCTGTGACCCAAGGGAATAAAAAACCCTGTTCTGGTTTGTCGTCCTCTAAGCCTTACAGGTGTTTGGGGCCTTGCTATTCCCAGAAGGTTGTTCAGGGAAGAACAGGGCTGCTACAAACGTGCAGGTTTTCTAGGTTCCGTGTGATCTACAATAAAGGACCTCTGGAAAGTGAGCTGAAGAAACTCCAGCTCTGGTCTCTAAACTGTAGAGTTAAAATGACCTCTTCATAAAACTTAAGACTTCCAAATAAGCCAGAAAAACAAAAAAAGAAGACAAGGATTTAAATATAGATATATAATTTTAATATTCAATTTAAAATAAAACCAAGGCTGAATTGCATTGGGAGAGAATGTCTGATTTGTAGAATATAGGACTTTTTAAAAAATCATAAAATTACAAGTCATTGGTGAGAACAACCCGCCCCACCCCAGTCTCTCCACAGAACCTGCTTTGGAAATAAGGTGAATCATTCCCCTTACTTCCTCCCCACCAGTGCTTGGGTCCCCCCAAAATCTAGGAGAGGAGTACATTCTCCACTGCCCCTTCCTGTCTCTACCGAGATCAGCTCTTCACCCCAGGTGAAGCATGAACAGGGCCCAGCCCCTGAGAAAACACATCTGGTCATAGAGGCCACGGGAAGGGCTTGGAGACCGAGACTTTTGCTTCTGGAATTTGCACAGAGTTGACAGGGTTCCCTCACGCAGCCACCTTATAACCACACATGCCGCGGCACAGAGAAGGAAGGGTGGAAACCCTGAGCAGAACCAGGCCCCCACCGCCTTATCAGAGCCCTACCATTCAAGGCCCTCTCCCGGGGGGCTCAGCAGTGAGCAGCAGTGGCTCTGACCAGTCACTGGGGGAGCAGGGCAGGCTGAGGGCCCCACAGGGAAAG